GGGATGGGATGGGATGGGATGGGATGGGATGATGGGATGGTGGGATGGTGGGATGATGGGATGGGATGGGATGGGATGGGATGGGATGGGATGGGATGGGATGGGATGGGATGGGATGGGATGATGGGATGGTGGGATGGTGGGATGATGGGATGGGATGGGATGGGATGGGATGATTCGGTATCTGCTCCAGTCCTGGTTCAGGTATGGCAGGATCTCAGCCTCATGATGCCCAAGGGTGTCCATCCATCTTGTTGCTCCCTATGCTGTTTTTTTGGAAAACACCCTCTGAGCAAGGAGCTTGATTTAGGGACAGATAGAAAAGCCATCAATCCCAGGAAGCCCCCAGATCAGAGCAATGGGCTTTTTTGAGGTTGTACACAGTGGAGAAGTGCTGATGATGCAGATTTTTCCAAGGAAACTTGCCACTTCACAGAGTTGCTGTTTCCCATGGGGAAGAAATGTGCTGAAAACTTGCAGTATTCTTCTTTTATGTCTTTTTTTCTCTCCCTATTTTATTTTGATGGGTTGAGGGGAGACAAACCTGAAATGAAACACTTCATTTTGGTCAGTTTAAGCTGATGGGGCAATATTTCATTCTTTTGATTGGATGGGTTTCAAATCGATTCAGAATATGCTCCAGCTTTGCTCAGGAAAAGTGCAGCTCTATCTCTTCTCTTTTATTGTGGATCTGCTCTTGGGAGGACCTCGATGCCCAGGAGGCAAAGAGCAACTTTGGTCTGGCCAAGCCCATGGGAATGGTGTTGATCCAAGGGCATAGTTGCATATTCCAAAGAGCAGGGAGGTTGAAAGCAGCCCTGATAATCCATAATTCCTCTCCAGACATACATGAAGGAGAATGAGAAAGAGAGAAACTCTCTGGAGAGCCTTGTCACAAGCCCCTCCCTGCTGCCAGCCTTCAGCAAAGCACACATGGTAATTAATTTAACATAAAGACCTGAAAATAAGTATTTTGCAATAGTTTCAGCTCCTGTTCAGATTTCCAGCATTTCAAATCATCTTTATGTCACATCAGTTCAAACATATATATAGAAAATAGTGGGTTTTTTGCTTGACAATTGTCCTGAAGCCTCATTTGGAATTTCAGGTTGTCTGAGCCTTCCTTCCCTCCAGCTGAAGTGTGTGGCTGAGATAGGAAGACAAAGAAAAGCTGGTATGAGCCATCAGTTGCTGATGATTTTGTGCTGAAGAGCTCAGTGATTGCTGCTGGGTTTTTGGTTTTATTTTTCCTGTTTGTTGGCCAGCTCTCTCCAAATTTCTCTGGTTGCTTTCTCCAAAATGGTTCTGTTTTCCTCAGTAAAATTTAAAGTACAGATCAAACAGAGCAGGTTGTGTTGTTTTCCTGTTCACATTTTTTAGAAAAAAACTCTAAACTGGTGTGTTTTGAAATGGTATTATCTTATCCTAAAAGTGCTGAAATCCAATCTGTTATCAAAAGCAGCATTCTCCTGGGGTTTTGGGAAGTTTTTTTGCAGTCCAAATGCTACAAATGATGCTAGCTAATGCAAAACAAAATAACAAAATATGGAGTCATGAGGTTTAACTGGGACAGACTGGGGAATGTGGCCCTGTTTTGTCCAGGATCCTTGGCCACTTCTGCAGCTCTTGCAAGGTTCAGTGCAATTGCAGAGTGGAAAATATTATTTTCCTGCAGGAGGATCCCTGATATTCTTCCTGTGTGCATTCACAGAGCTTCTGTGCTGGCATGGGTGTCAGAGAGGGAACTGGAGACATGAATCTCCCCTGGATGTTTTACCCTATGAATTTTCTGGGAGGAATGCAGGAATTGCTGTCCCACAGCAGGTAAGAGATGTCTTTCTATGCTCATCGACTTTGCAATAAGCCTCCCAAAGACACAGCAAACCTGGTTTGAGCATTTGCTCTTGTTTGAACTTTGGCAAATGCTCCTGCAAACCTGCTCCAAGTGCAGAGTAACCTCTGTGAGGGAAGATTTATTGCTCTGGACCCAAACCAGGCAGCATTTCATCGTTTTGGAGCTCCACACTCCGGGCTGGCTGAGCTGTTAAGTTCTGATGTTCAATCCACGGGCTGGAAGGAACCTCCAGGTGTCATCTGCTCTGCCCTCCCTGCTCCAGGTCTCAGGTGTGGTTTCTCCAGAGGTTTCTCCTCAGGCTGGAGTCCCCCTCCTTCCTTCTGAGACTCCTGGACAGCCCGTTCCTCTCTTCCTGTACTGTTCTTACCAGTCATGCAACAAAGAAGTCCCAAAATCCAGAGGTTTTTGTGTGTTTACTGTAAGCTGGATGGGAGCCCTAATGACTCTGATGCATTGAAAAGATCAGGGGAAACAAGGAATAACAGGATCCGTTGCCATAACAGAGAATGATCCAACATCTTCAGACCTAAAAATAGTTTCTCCCTGTTAACATCTCTGTGGGAAGGAAGGACTCCAGGAAGAAAGGACTCCAGGAAGGACTCCAGGAAGGACTCCGGGAAGGACTCCAGGAAGGAAGGACTCCAGGAAGGAAGGACTTCAGGAAGGAAGGAAGGAAAGAAGGAAGGAAGGAAGGAAGGAAGGAAGGAAGGAAGGAAGGAAGGAAGGAAGGAAGGAAG